GGTCGCACATAGGTACCAATTGGCAACCGGGTGAGCCACACTTTAGTTTAAAATAGCATAGCTATAAATAGATTCTTTGTTTATTATAAATGTAAATTCTATAGTATAAAATAAAGTTGTGACATGATCGTCAAAAAAAAAAAAAAAAATTATAAACGGTATGAACCAGAAACAAGAATTATAGAAATGGGGATAATTGAAAAATGTTGCCCAAAGTGTGGAAATTTCAGAAATAAAAAAGAATACTTGAAAACTACAAAGAAACAAGGAACTATTGAATTAAAATGTTGTAAAAGTTGTAACTGAAGAGAAACTTTAGGAGTACAAAGACAAACATCAAAAGAATATCAACTAAACAAAAAATTAAGGTTACAATGAGAAAAAGAATTAGTAGAAGCAGAAATATACAATTTAGAATTTGTAAAATTCACAATACAACAATTAAATGAAGAAGATGGAACAACTACTAATGTTTAATGACCCAGAATATGGGATAACATGAAAATGCACTAGTTGCAATAATTTTCAAGAAATGGCACAGTATAAAGAAATAGAAAATGAACAAGAAATTTATTATGATAACTGTAGTACTTGCAGAAAACTAGAGTTTATAGCACACTCTTTAATAACACATTTAGAATTACCAGAACGAAGAATTATACAAACTGCACCATTTAGGTATCACCCAGAAAAAGGATACCAAATAGGGTTATCCAAAAGAATTAATCCAAAGAAAGTATTTTAGAATCATTTCCAAGGATATGGAGGCAAAGGAGAATTGGATGAAAATGGTAAACCATGTGAAAGCGATGAATATACTGCAATCAGAGAAGGTTTAGAAGAAGCCAATATTTTAATGGAAAAAGAATTATTAATCAAAGTATGGACTGAATTTAAACCAAGTTCACAAGAATGGGTAGCAGAGAAATACTGCTCACCAACAGAAGCTAAATACAAAATACAAAGAACTGTATTTATTTATCCATGCAATATATTCCAAAAATTAAAACAATGCGAACCAGAAGAAGCAACACCATGGGAATGGTATACTTACGATGAAGTAAAGAAATTAACCCTTATACCAATGATAAAACAACCACTAGAATTAATATTTGACGGAATACACCAGTATTTTATTAAAATGCAAGAAATACAAAACGATGAACAACTTAATGAAGATTTTATAGACTATGAAGCTAAGTACCCCTACGAAGAAATAGAAAGCTTAGCAGATGAGGATGAAATTCAAGAAAAACTACCAATAATGACGGATTACGAATTTACTACTCATCATAAACAAGTAGAAACTACACCAAGAATTGAGATTCTACAAATAGAAAAATACAAGAAATACCTTGAATACGAAAAAGGCCAAATACAAAATAAAATTAATAGAGTTAATAGACTCCTTAACGGCCATTATAACTACAAATATTTAGCAGCATTTCGACCTCAAAGACCGAATGCACGCATCCAAAATATTAAAGGAAAATCCTACACTAAAGAAAATATCGGATTCCGGACTCATAAAATTATTGAAAAATCAAGACTTTGTTTATTCACTTTTAAAACTCAAAACAAAGAAGGAACAATACCAATTAAAGATTCGGCAAATTAAAGATAATGTACAATACGACCAAAAGACCGAATTGTTTGGAACAATTGATCAAATATTTATTGAACATCCAAACATACCATTAGTATGACCAACGTTACGGATTTATGGCAAAATTGCCTCATAAGGAAATTACCGGCAATGTTTAATCCGGACATGTAGATCGATGTGTAAACCTTCAGAAATACCTAGCTTTAGACGGTCTCCAATTTTGTCAATTATTAATTAACGTATCATTCATTTATCGAAAAATAACCCGAATCGATTATTATCGTATACGTAATAAATTATTGATCAATAAAGATGAGTAAGTACAATAAATTAAATTCAAGTGCTTCATTTATTGTTATGTATTTCTTTCTTTTTTTTTATTCGCTTCACCGTCACCTATTGTCATGAATTCATGAACTTATAGTTTTTTTTTTAAACCCGTAAAACCTTTATTAAATGTAAAGCTTAATGGATAGAAATCGTTACAAATGCCTAGATATTTTTTTTAAAAAATCCAATCCACCAAAGAAACTCAACATTCAAACTCATATTCAAGAACACCCAGCCCATATTATTTAAGAACTCCCAACCTTTAATATTCAGAAACGTCCATTTTTTTTAAAAAAAAAAAATTCGATTTGAATAAAATTTATTATTTTAATAACATAAATTTTAATAAAAAGTAGCCGTGCAAATCACGATCGTAATATTGGTTCAAGCTAAGAAAACCTCTCAGATTCTTGTTGCCAAACGAACTGTAGCTCCAAATTATGCACCTGTCGAAAAGGCAATTCACTGTGCTCAAGGATAGCGTTGCAAACAAAATTACGTATGATTAATCATCACATACTATAGCTTATATTTATTTCTTGTGAATTAAAAAAATTACAATGTACGGATAGCTATTTCCTTGTGACAATTAAAATATTACGTAATTTTGTTTGCAACGCTACTCAAGAAGATATGGATGTGTCATGCGGGTAATGCAAAAATAATTAATTTTATCGAATATTGCATATAATTATAGCCCTATGTGTTGACGAAACCACGCTAGGGTTATTGTCGCGAGGATAACTAGATTTGTGGCTAATATTAAATAGAGGCTTAGCGTTAGTAGGATGTTAAATCAGTCAAACCTTACCGTTACCATTTCGGTCTGACCACATAAACTAGTTAGTTGCTGATCGATCATTACCAAATTATGAACTGGTTCAAAAAGAACACGTGTAATTATTATACAAAACGATTATATAAACTTTTAAAAAATTTTCAATTCATTTTTTTATATTTATCCAATCATGGATAGTGCTGAAAAGAAATTTAATCTTGATCCTACATATCTTTTAGGGGATGGTGTTGAAAATGACTCTAATATAATGTTTAGAATTGGATATAGCTACGATGAAGAAATCGGAGTCGAAAAAGACGAAAAGAAGGCATTCGAATATTATAAAAAATCTGCTGAAATGGGTAATGCAGTAGGAGCATTTTTTGTTGGATATCGTTATCTCGTAGGAACCGGAGTCGAAAAGGACGAAGATAAGGCATTTGAATATTATAAAAAATCTGCTGAAATGGGTTTGGTAGAAGGAATATTTCATGTTGGATTTTGCTACTTCGAAGGAACTGGAGTCGAAAAAGACGAAAAGAAGGCATTTGAATATTTTAAAAAATCTACAGAGATGAATTATGTTAATGGAATAACTAGTGTTGGAATTTGCTACTTAGGAGGAATTGGAGTCGAAAAGGACGAAAAGAAGGGATTCGAATATTCTAAAAAATCTGCAGAGATGGGTGATAAAAAAGGAATGTTTAATGTTGGACATTGTTACATCGAAGGAATCGGAGTCGAAAAAGACGAAAAGAAGGCCTTCGAATACTATAAAAAATCTGCAGATATGGGTGAAATAATGGGAATATATAATGTTGGAGATTTTTACAAAGAAGGAATCGGAGTCGAAAAGGATGAAAAGAAGGCATTTGAATATTTTAAAAAATCTGCTGAGATGGGTAATGTTCATGGAACAATTAATGTTGGAAATTGCTATCTCAAAGGAATTGGAGTCGAAAAGGACGAAAAGAACGCATTCAAATATTTTAAAAAGTCTGCAGATATGGGTGATACAAAAGGAATATATAATGTCGGATCTTGCTATTTCAAAGGTATCGGAGTCGAAAAAGATGAAAAGAAGGGATTTGAATATTATAAAAAATCTACAGAGATGGGTTATGTAGAAGGAATAATCAGTGTTGGACATTGTTATCTTGTAGGAATCGGAGTCGAAAAGGATGAAAAAAAGTCATTCGAATATGATAAAAAAGCTGCAGAGATGGGTAATGCTATTGGAATCTTTAATATTGGAAATTGCTACAAAAATGGAATCGGAGTCGAAAAAGACGAAAAGAAGGCATTTGAATATTATAAAAAATCTGCAGAGATAGGTAATGCTGATGGAATGTCAGAAGTCGGATATTGTTATAGAAATGGTATTGGAACAACAATAGACATGGTTCAAGCTAATTATTGGTTTCAAATGGAAAAGAGTAAATTTAACGAAATAATCAGATCAGAATATAAAGATCTTGAAATCGACGATAATATAAAACAGTTATTAGACATTAATGAATACCAATTATCTTGGATTCCTTACGAGTTTGAAAATATTAGAGTAATTGGAAGTGGTAATTTTGCAATTGTATATGAAGCGATATGGACAAAGCAAAGTATCAATAGTAGAGTTGAAGCCAATCATCCTATAGCTATTTGGACTTACGCTTCAGATTTTTATGTCGCACTTAAGGAATTTTATAACGACTGTAATTTAAATGAGGTATTTTATTTAATTCGATATATTTTGTTTTTGTATAATCTTTTTACTAAAAATTGTTTTTAAAAGTTAAAAGCATACTGCGAAATCGGAGTTGAAAATCCTTCATTTATGAAATGTTATGGTATATCGAGAAATGAAAACGGAAAATACATGCTTGTATTAAAATATGCTGAAATGGGTTCGCTGCGTCAGAATCTTTTACCTATATCGCAAATGAAATGGAAAGATAAGCTAAGCTTGTTATTTAGTATAACTTCTGACCTTAAGGCAATTCATTCCCAAGGAATTATTCATCGAGATCTGCACAGCGGTAACATTTTGCAAGATGATTTATGTAGTGCGTACATTGCAGATCTAGGTCTTTCCATTCAACATCTGGAAAAAGGAGATGGTCAAATATATGGAGTATTACCATTTATCGCGCCAGAAGTCTTGGTAAAGGAACCGTATACTATTGCATCCGATATTTATTCTTTTGGTATGATCATGTGGGAAGTGTTGTATGGAACGCCTGTAACAAATTATTATAACATGGAAAATGAAATTCAAACTCAAATTAGACAAATCATCATTGATGATATACGCCCACCTCTTAACGAAGAAATACCGTGTTGTTACGTGAATTTAATAAAAAAATGCTGGGATAAAGATCTAGAAAAGCGACCAACAGCAGAAGAACTCTGTGAAATTTTCAAAAAATGGCAAAACGATGAACAGATCCTGAGCGAATTGTCTAATTCAACACCAAAACTCGAACATGTAGAAAGGGAATCTGAACATGATAATATTTCATTTAGTCAAGTTGTTATTAGCAATTCTTTTAATCTTATAATTGATTTTCCGGAATTAAGAATTAATTAAAATTTATCAGCATGCTTGCATTATTTTAATTGCATAAATAATTTCTTTTGATCGTAACCAAACTAGAAATTCACCTTTTTATAAAAACTTTGTGGTTAACCATTTCGTAATTTCGCATGAGAAACCAGGTAGTTTGACTAGTTTGGTCACAAACGATAACGATCTGGTCAAACTAATTTCATCCGAACCACTTAACATCCTTAAATATCGCCATTAAAATCAGTTACGTACGTACGTACGTAATCGCTTTTTAAATTTCATTCTACGCGCAAGAGTAATAGAATCACAAGATCACACGATTTTTGATGAAATATATACAGTATATATATATATATTTATTTATCGTTATAAGTTTCAAGTCAAATTACATTCAATTCAAATGTATAGAATGCATTTACACAAAATTTATTTAATGCACGTATAAAGCTTCAAATTTGAATTTTTTATGTTACTGGTATTTTGTTACGTTCACTCCAAGTTTTTGGAGGTTTGTTACTCGTTCAAAATCTTTAATGTCATCTACCATTTATTGAATTGGTTTAAAGTTCGATTAAATACTTCGAAGCCATTTTTTTTGTTTGGGAAGATTATTAGACTTTTCAAAACATTAAAACATAAAATTAATAAATATCTTTATTTAAACATAGAAATATAATGAAAAATTTCTTTTATACCTCATGAAGAGTTCTTAAAATTTTCAGATTCGATTCTTAATTATCTATATTTTGGGTTTCTGAATTTAGGCGAGACCAACTGGATTCTGTGTTTTACATTACCCCCCTCTCCCTCCGGTAGAGGGGAGAAATTATGGTTTACACAGTAAAATTTAAAAAAATTCCGAATTGCTCCGTGACTGTATAAAATTTTTCAAAAATATCCCGTAGCCCTATATATATTTTTTTATTATGTAGGAGGGGTGGGAGCGCTGGGGAGGCAATGTAAAACACAGAACCCAGTTGGTCTCGCCGATCGTTAAATTGACTTGTGTAGATTAAGGTTATTTTCGAATATTTTCCCATAAAGTTTCTTTAGCTTCCGTAATAAAAGGATGTTGAGAATTCCAATGTACCTAAATTAATATAATATTATATTTAGAAATTTTTAAACCATGATAATGAATTTGCAAAGCTTTATTAGAGTACAAATCCGGATAAGTCTGTCATCCGTTTATCTGTATCTAATTATCTGAATAATTCAAATCGTTCAGGTATCCAGATAACTATCAGGATATCCGATGGATAAATGGATAAACGGATATAATGGGTAAGAACACTAAGCTTCACCCATGTTATTTACTTCTAATTCGGAAATATTTACAACTATCTCAAGACCATACGTATATATATTGCTTTCTCCTTCAACATCCTTAAGTTTTCATAAACTATATATTCAAGCTCTTCGGATTTTATAGTATTTACTTTTTGCTTTCAAATATACTTAAGTTTCTGTCTTTTTGCTTTATTTACACGGGTTGTACACTCAAAACATGATTTATTATTATTTTGAAACGCAGTTTTCGGTTTTGTAATTCGACAAGATAAACAAATTGTGTATGTTCTATTTTTAGAAAATATTGTATTACGATATTCAAAGAAATAAAATTTTAATATCGACAATAAATTTAAGCTCCGTTATACATAACCGAGTTTGGTGTCAATACTAGGTGGGTCCTTCCCTCGCCCTCATTCGTTTCACCTAGAACCTTGCTCGTTGTAGTGAGTTGAATACGCCGCACCAAAACGTGGGCTCAAATTTGCTAGTTTATTAAAGTAGAATGCACTACGCCATATCGTGGGCCCGTCTTTCGATCCTAAACAATCATTTTTGATACTCGACATGCAGATCCCGGTAAAAATAAAAATTTTAAAAACTTTGAGCGAAGATAACCCGACAACTACCTACTTGAATCTGATAAAACTTTATATTTGAATTCTATGGATCATAGAATTCAAATAAAAAAAATTCATCGAATTTAGCCATGTGGTTATCGAGATAACTTCGCTCAAAATTAGAGAGCCTATTACAGCTATTATCATAATTCCCGGGACACCTGTGAAAATTTGCCCGAATGTTTTTTCCGCCGATCCGGTTAAGCTATAGATTTCGGGAATAATAATAA